GAGAGTGTGTATGTGTGTATGCATGATCGCTAGCCGTGTCGTCGTGACATTGAAATGATATGTTGCTTGATTTCATCGGAACCTTTTGATCGCTGAGCCGTGAAAAAAACAGGAGGGAAAAAATGGAGAAGAGAGTTGGGGCGGGGGAGAGGGGGGGGGCGGTGCAGGCTCATTCCGGGGAAAGAACACGCCGGATTTTTAGTTTTATCTTGGACCGTTCTTTTTTTTTAAATATTTTTTGTTCATTTAATAGATATGGTAAAGCTTGGGAAATGTGTGTATAATTAGGATCATGTCGTTGAGCTTTCAAGAAAGATTTCTCTGTCCGCCAACTAAGTTTCTTTTCTCTGCTTTTCTTTATTTTCCTTTTTTCTTCTCGTCACTTCTCTTCGTGTCACTTCTCTTCTCGTCACTCCTCTTGTCTTTGTGTTACTTCTCTTCTTTTCTCGTCACTTCTCTTCAATTGATGTCACTTCTCTTCTCTCCTAGTCACTTCTCTTTTCGTCTCTACTCGTCAGTTCTCTTCTCCTCTCGCCACTTTTCTTCTCCTTTCGCCACTTTTCTTCTCTTCTCATTACTTCTCTTCTGGTCACGAATCTTGTCTTCTTGGCACTTTTTTTTCGTCACTTCCCTTCTCTTCTCATCACTTCACTTCTCGTCACACTTTTCTCATGTCGTCACCTCTCTTCTCTCCACCTCTCTTCGCTTCTTGACACTTCTCTTCTCGTCACTTCTCTTTTGCCACTTCTTTCTTTGTCTCTTTTATTTTCTTTTTTTCTCTTCTTGTAACTTGTTTTCTATGTATTTTCTCTTCTTTATTCTCATATACATCCTTATAAGTGTGCGAGTTCTCTTCTGTTCTGTCCTCTTGTCAAATGGCTTCTCTACCGACAGGAACGTCCAGGGTTCGAATGACATGGATTTTCTGAAATGACCTGGCCTCCTGGGCAGCCCATTCTAAAACGAGTACCAGGAAAAAGACGGAAAGTAAAGGCAGATAGTCTGATGGTCATCACATTGCCTGTTAGGTTCACATTTATTTTTCCAACTATGAGCCTAGTACCATACATACCAAGTGCCAGTCGAATGACACGAGTTCTTTACTTGTTTTAAAAGTAGTAGTAGTAGTAGCAGCAGCAGCAGGAGTAGTAGTCGTCGTCGTCGTAGTAGTAGTAGTAGTAGTAGCAGCAGCAGCAGCAGCAGCAGCAGCAGTAGTAGTAGTAGTAGTAGTAGTAGTAGTAGTAGTAGTAGTAGAGTAGTAGTAGTAGCAGCAGCAGTAGTCGTGTAGTAGTAGTAGTAGTAGTAGTAGTAGCAGCAGCAGCAGGAGCAGCAGCAGCCGCAGTAGTAGTAGTAGTAGCAGCAGCAGCAGCAGCAGCAGCAGCAGCAGTAGTAGTAGTAGTAGTAGTAGTAGTAGTAGTAGTAGTAGTAGTAGTAGTAGTAGTAGTCAGTAGCAGCAGCAGCAGCAGCAGCAGCTGCAGCAGCAGTAGTAGTCGTCGTTGTCGTAGTAGTAGTAGTAGTAGTAGTATAGTAGTAGTAGTAGCAGCAGCAGCAGCAAGTACTAGCAGCAGCAGAAGTAGTTAGTAGTAGTAGTAGTAGTAGTAGTAGTAGTAGTAGTAGTAGTAGTAGTAGCAGCAGCAGCAGCAGCAGCAGAAAGAGTAGTAGTCGTCGTTGTAATAGTAGTAGTAGTAGTAGCAGTAGCAGCAGCAGCAGCAGCAGCAGCAGCAGCATAAGCGGCAGCTGCAGCAGCAGTTGGAGTAGTAGTTGTCGTAGTAGTAGTAGTATTAGTCGTCAGAGTAATAATAATAGCAACAATAATAAATATAATAATAATGATGTTATAAACATTAAGAGAAAAATAGTTTTGTCATGGGTTAAGAATGAACGTGGCTCCCAGGTCGACCCAGCTTAATTGGGTACCAGGTGTAGTCCTGGGAAGTAAAGGCGACCGACGTGATGTTGACCACTTCCTCCTCTTGATGGATTTAAACAGTATGATTCTAGCCTCGGTGCTTTAATTTTAGACCACCCCAAACAAAGAAAAACACGGAATCCCTTGTCCAGTCCATTATTCTTGGGGTGTTATGTCATGACTTTGTTCTGTGTTTATGACAACTCAGCAAATAACACCCCTAGAAAAGTGGACTGGTTTCGGGGACTGCGGCTTTACATTTGTTTGGCGTCGTCTAAAATTATAGTACCGAGGCTAGCTTTATATGGCAGATGCGCCTTGGCGTATAAAGAGACGTTTACTTTACTTACTTTATGTGGGTTGAGAAAAGACATGTTAAAAAACCATTCCCACATATCGACAATCGGCAGTTGAAGAAACTGAGGCGTGTGAGAGAAAAGATACTGGATTACCTTATATGGTGTAAATAGGGGATGAATGCAGTCGAGTTGGTTGCAAGCAATGCTAACTATAAAACACACAACGTGACTAGAAACGGAGGCACTGGAAAAGACGCCTTACAAACAACCAAAAGTTTCGACCAGTCTATATTAACTGAATACTAAAGAGGTAAAGTAAAGGTCCCTTTTCCATGCCTTTGGGCGCATTGGGTATATAGGGCTAGACCTAAATTTGTATAAACCAATCGGCCCTTGGTGGGTGATGTGGTCAGTATCACGCCGGTCGCCTTTACCTCTTAGGACTGCACCTGATACCCACTCAAAGCTGGGTCGACCTGGGAGTCAAGGTCATTTGTGAAAAATATCCGACTTCGTCAGGACGCGAACCCACGACCTTCCGATCCGCAGGCGGGCGTCTAGACACCAACAACGGAGTACTAAATACTGCAGAAACTGTGACTGGAAAACTTAACGGAAAAGATAACAGAGTCCTTTCCAGTCCCTCCGTTGAGCCTTCTAATCACATTCTGTGATAAATTTAGCATACCTAAGATGGTGGGCGAGCAAATGATTGTCATAAAGGTTATTGATCCATTACATCAAGGACGGAGATTTGCCGATCTAATTTCCTCATTCGTCTTCTGTCATCTGAATAAAGGTACATAAAGGCGAGACGGCCGGGTTGATTGCGTCGGGTTTCGTCTCATATTTTAAAATTAGTTGCGTATCCTTTACAGGACGTTGCAGAACCAACCCCTGCACTTTCTGACTGTTGTGGTTTTTCCTAGGCAAATTTACGTCCAGTAATTTGCTATTGCCCCTGGACGGTCGGCTCTCAGTGCAGCAGGGATCGAACCCGGCACCCCGACATTACGAAGCGCGTTTGAAACGCCTAAGCCACAGACGCCGACCGTCTCATATTACTCTGTGTATTTCCGCAGAGCGGACTGATCACAAATGTGAGCGTTGGGAAAAGCACGAGCATCATAACCCCAGCAACGATTGCTAAAGATGCCTAAAACAAATGGATTATCAAGTTGAATGACTGAAATCCAACCCTTAAACCTCCCCGTGTGGGTTCCGGGGCCCTATTTTGAGGGATAGACCCACTGCCGCTCTAACCAACATATAATGTACACGTCGACTAGTTAGAGGTTCACTTGAAAGTTGAAGTTTAGTTTGTACAGCACTTCAACAGCATGGCACAATGCAGCACCGGCGAGGATCCTAAAATACTTTAGCTAGATTTTCAACTACACATTTTGCCCGGGCAGCGCCGTTAGGCTACTCTTTTCGATTTCCAACTGCCGAGAGGTTTTTACGTGCTCAAAAATACACACGCGCGTCCGATCTTACTACCCAGGGACCCGGGGCAATTACTAGAAGTCCACGTGAAAAAAATCTAAGCTCTCACCGGGACCTGAACCCGGGACCGCCAGCACTCAAGGCGGACGCCATGTCTCGAGACCAGTCAGCCTCCGTCGAAGTTGAAGTGAATCTACCTGAAAGGTGAGGAACCAATAGTCAGCTTACAAATAAGTCAGATCTGTAAAACAGACGTGCACGCAAAACTCCGGTTATTCATCAAGACAAAAGTCCAGAAGTGGACAAACATCCAAAGTAGAGGCAACCACATTACCCATCGAATGTCCATACTGCCAAAAACTGCCATTTCTGCCGGTATTCACCCTTATTAGGGAGTTTCAGTCTGAGAGTTAAGGGCCGTTTGGGTAGAGCTGTCGCCACGGATTCTGTGGGTTATGATTTGTTTTGTTTTCCACAACCTTAACTAGGATCCGAACCTCAGTCTCCCGCATAAGAGCCGATCTTTCCTAACCGTTGGTCAACAACTTCTCTATCGAGTGCTCGCAGCATTTGAAAAGTCCAGTCCAACATCCTTTACCCGACTCTGGCATGAAGAGAGTCTTCGTAGTTTACTTGCTTCCCGTCGTTGCATTACGTTATCACCTGTCTGATTCTCCAGTACCTTTACTAGAAGCTTTCAAGTGTCTCCGCCGAAGAGCTCTACACGTTGAGGTGCAAATAATCCAAATTCCAGCTCATTGACCAGCGACCGACTTCTGATCTCTCATACATACAAGTAGTCTCTTGGGGATCAATATAGCTGATGATATTGCTTGATTACAAATACAGTTTTTAACAAATTGTGTTGTCTGATGCATATGACTTTTTGTTTGGATGTTTTTCTCTCTCCATATTTCTTCTTCTTCTTCTTCTTCTTCTTCTTCTTCTTCTTCTTCTTCTTCTTCTTCTTCTTCTTCTTCTTCTTCTTCTTCTTCTTCTTCTTGTTCTTCTTCCTCTTCTTCTTCTTCTTCTTCTTCTTCTTCTTCTTCTTCTTCTTCTTCTTCTTCTTCTTCTTCTTCTTCTTCTTCTTCTTCTTCTTCTTCTTCTTCTTCTTCTTCTTCTTCTGCTGCTGCTGCTTCTTCTTCTTTTCTTCTTCTTCTTTTTCTTCTTCTTCTTCCTCCTCCTCCTTCTCTTTCTCCTTCTCTTTTCCTTCTTCTTCTCCTTTTTCTTCCTTTTCTTCTTCTTCATCCTCTTTTTCCTCCTCTTCTTCTTCGTCTTCGAGCTTAGTAACATTTTTAGACCTGTAGTTTTACATAATTTAATTTCGAACTTTCAACACTTTATAGATTCCTACCAACCTGCTACAAAGAAGCAAAAGACATCTAAGAAGACAGTTTTTGATCCTAAGATCTGGACCACAGAAAGCTACCACGCTGGACTAACGGCCGGCAAGCGAAGAACCGTCCAAAAGGCTTTCATGTCCGGGAAACTACGTGTGGTCGTGGCCACTGTTGCTTTCGGAATGGGCCTGGATAAAGCGAACGTCCGAGCGGTCATCCATTACAACATGGCCAAATCTTTTGAGAGTTACGTGCAGGAGATTGGTCGAGCTGGACGAGACGGTCAGACTTCTCATTGTCACGCTTTCTTGGACTCACAGGTGAGTCTGTTTGTGATTGTGTGTACGCTAAAGTTCCGGTTGTCTAGGTTATATTTGATAATAGCTTGTTTTTACCTCTTTTGTATCTCTAGAGGCGCACTATTTAACGGGGGGGGGGGGGGGGGGGGCACCCGAGGTAAAATTGGTCCGCGATGGTTTGGAATGTGGTCCCCGGATTAATGCTAGTTGTATTGTATGAATGATCTTTCTACGCTGTAGCTTAGGCCTCTTGACCGTGAGCAAGAAGATGATGAAGAAAAAGAATATGGCATTGAAGAAGAAGAAGAAGACGAAGAAGATGAAGAAGAAGAAGAAATAGAAGAGGAAGTATCTAGTTATTATGCAAAAGTACACTATATGTTAATTGTTGTTTACTTTAATCGCAACTAAAAAATAATAAAACACAGCCATCAATGGCATCTTTATCTTGATGTTCTTTATGTTGTCATCCCCTGTATCATTAGCCGTGTCTGATTGCTGTCTATCTCAACACCAGCGATTACTTTGAGTGCAACGATTGAGATTATCTTGTCCGTGGCCGTGGGTGTTTTTCTGGAGAGGATTAGGGGTGGAGTGGAAAACTAACTGGATTGTAATGTCCATGTCTAGGGTCATGCCAATTGTTTCCATGGATCTGACAGTGGGTACCGCGTTGCGGTTTAGAGGCTAGTGATGGCGTTTCATCACCATCTACGTACCAAGTTTCGATGTTTGCGTGGATGGCGTTAAAAAAAAAGACCGCTTTCTTTCTTTCTTTCTTTCTTTCTTTCTTTCTTTCTTTCTTTCTTTCTTTCTTTCTTTCTTTCTTTCTTTCTTTCTTTCTTTCTTTCTTTCTTTCTTTCTTTCTTTCTTTCTTTCTTTCTTTCTTTCTTTCTTTCTTTCTTTCTCTTTCTTTCTTTCTTTTCTTTCTTTCTTTCTTTCTTTCTTTCTTTCTTTCTTTTCTTTCTTTCTTTCTTTCTTTCTTTCTTTCTTTCTTTCTTTCTTTCTTTCTTTCTTTCTTTCTTTCTTCTTTCTTTCTTTCTTTCTTTCTTTCTTTCTTCTTTCTTTCTTTTCCTTTCTTTCTTTCTTTCTTTCTTTCTTTCTTGTTCTGTCAATATCTATACTTCTTTACCCCATGGGGGTGGGTGGGTGTCCAACCCCCCCCCCCCCCCCCTAATTTATGTTTCTTGTGTTCTGTTTCTTGTTAAATACACACATTTTATGACAAAAATTGCTAAACACAATGTCAGACATCGCTAAAAATTTCAGTGGAGGGAGTGGAAAAGACGCGCACAAATACAACCGACATTATCGACCACAGTCTTTATCAGCGGCATACTAAATACAGCACAGCACAAGCTGTGACCAGAAAGCTCAAGGGACAAGGCAACAGAGCTTCTAAACAACCAAGACGATCATGACACTGGGAAATACGTAATGTGGGGAAACATTCTAGACATAAAGAGCTATGTACAAACGACGGCATACAGTGTAGGCTGTGTAATATCCGATCTAATGTTGCGGAAGAATAGGGAGGATTACCCCTTTCCCCTAACCCCCCCCCCCCCCCTCCAAATGAATAGCTAGGCTGATCAAGTAGTTTGTGATGTCTTTATTTACCCAGTAACGTTACACTACATCAACACACACTACACCTGTCTCTCGTTGCTTCCTCGTTTGTGTGCCGCTATCAGATATTTACCAGTTTTAATATCAGATAAAATGACTCCTCAGACATTCCTATCTGCAACTAGTTTTCAAAGTTAGCAACTGATTCTCAAATTGAGCTGTTGGTTCTCAAAGTAAGCAGCTGGTCTTCAAAGTAAGCAAATGGTTCTCAAAGTGAGCAACTGGTTCTCAAATAGAGCGACTGGTTCTTAAATGGAGCGACTGGTTCTCAAATGGAGCGACTGGTTCTCAAATTAAGCAACTGGTTCTCACAGTGAGCAACTGCTTCTCAAATTGAGTAAGTGGGTTTCAAACAGCTGGTTCTCAAATTATGCAACTGGTTCTCAAAGTGAGCAGCTGATGTTCAGAGTGAGCACCTGGTTTTCAAAGTGAGCGACCAGTGTACACCTCGTAATTAGTATCGTCGTTGCGTCGCCGCCATTGTCATCATCTCAACCACCACCGACGCCACCGTCTTCCGGATCAATGTGGTGGATATGAAGGTTTACTGTTTTTAATTCTATCAAGTTTTTGTTTAGGACAATAGTTAACCGTTACATTTTCCTCAGTATATAAACTGAAAGAGTATGGTTCCGTCGCCCAGCGGTTAAGCTGAGTACCTGGAGCAAAAACTGTAAAATGCCGATTTAATTTCGAATGCTTTTCGACTGTGCCCGACGTGGTTTGTGTTGTCATCTGCAAATTCATAAAAATGCGAGTGGCTTCTTGCTATAAAACAGAATGCTGCTTTGTGCGTTTTATTGTGTTTGCAACTACTGAATGATTTGTTTTTACTGCTGCTTCCTCCGACACTTAACTACATTTCTAGAGGCGGACTGTTTGTATTGGCAGTTAGGACAGCTGTCTTATACATGTAATGCGTGTGTATACTGTTGAATGTGTTGATTTTAGAGTCTGTGTCGATTTTTTTTTCACAAGAAACACTAACGGAAATGCCGGGGTCATGCGGGTGTTCAAGGGAACGAGCGTGCAGACTATCATGTTGACACTGCGGTTGCTGTGGCTGGCCCAGTACTGGACAGAAGTGATGTTATCAATGTCATGCGCTGCACTTACCGTACCGAGGAGCACGCCAAAGGACATGACTCCATATCATTGTCTAGACTGATGGACATGGGGGTGCAGCCTGGAGCTGCAAGAAATGAACATTTCACTAAGGGGACAAGAGGTGTCATTCACCAACACAGAACAGACATCATCAGTCGTTTTTCACGTATGAATCTTTTGAGGAGGAGATCGGAGCACCTATGGATCTGTCTGGAGTGCTGTGATGATAATCCACTCTAATCACTAATCACTAATGAATATGCTTTTTTTTTTTTTTTTTGGCACAGTAACAGAGCATCTATGTGGTGACCAGTTTACTGTAATGTTGGAGTTGCGATTAGCACATCCTCATCATCCTCTTCATCATCATCTTCATTATCTTCATCATCTTCTTCATCATCATCATCATCATCATCATCTTCATCTGCATCATCATCTTCATCATCATCATCATCATCTTCATCATCATCATCTTCATCATCATCATCAACATTATCATCCCATTTACTTGTCCGGTTCCATGAAGTCACACCGACATGTACTCGCATGTGTCACACGTGCTTCCTCCCTCTTGTTTCCGCATCAGACTTCACATCTGCTTTCCGGACAGATATTTAAAGCTCGAGGATTGTAATTTTCGTCGTCCCAATTCATGTCCCCTTAGCGGGATGCAATTTTTTTTTTTTTTTAGTTTGAAGCCCCAAGCTAGATTTTGTCTGGGGCCCTAAATTTAGCCAGGCCTGAAATATGGCCTAGTGGCTGAACGGGGTTTCCGGGACCTCTCCTCGGGTGATCCGTATCTGCATGGTGGCACTTTGTGTCACCCGGTGTTTGTCCTGGTGGGGTAAATTTTACCTACTTGCTTACTCATTTTCAGCAGGTTTTCAAATTGAGCGACCCGTGTACACTTCGTCACCATAATCGTTATCATATTCGTCGTCGTCACCCCCATCACCACCACCATCACCATCACCACCACCACCACCATCATCACCATCACCACCACCATCACCACCACCACCACCATCACCACCACCACCACCATCACCATCACCACCACCACCACCACCATCACCACCACCACCACCACCATCACCACCACCACCACCACCACCACCATCACCACCACCACCACCATCACCACCACCACCATCACCATCACCATCACCACCACCATCACCATCACCGCCACCACCACCACCATCACCACCATCACCACCACCATCACCACCACCATCACCACCATCACCACCACCATCACCATCAAACAATCCTAGACACTCTGAATTTACACGCATACATATACGTGCCCATACATACACAGACACAAGCACACCCATAACTATACATTCGCGCACACCCACTCATACATACACCCCCATACAAATAAATACATACATACACCCATTCTCATACAGACGCATACAGCACCCACACCCATGTATACATACATATGCACTCAGACTTATTTTTAGGAGGACATCTTAGCATATGCTGATCTGTTCGTTACTTTATGTCACCAATCTTTGTTTTGAATATCTTTACAAGCACAATTCTGAACCATTATATGCATCTCCTTGACGCCTGGAGTCACACTGTTTAGTGCCTTATTCTATACTGCCTGTATTTAGTAGGATTTTAGGAGGTGTACGAGTGAGTGGGAGAGAGAGGGAGAGAGAGAGAGAGAGAGAGAGAGAGAGAGAGAGAGAGAGAGAGAGAGAGAGAGAGAGAGAGAGAGCGTGCGAACTTTATTTTTTAAGAGCTGGGGGCAGAAAAAAAAAGAAAGAAGAAGAGAAGAAGAGAAGAAGAAGAAGAAGGTCTTGCGTGAGAATATTGGGCCGCCTCTGGATAGGCAACAGTGTCCACCACTTTAATAACGTTTGGAACCCAGGTCCTCCGCATGAGAACCAAGCGTCCCGTCCAATCCGCCAGCGGTTAGCGTATGCTGTGTCTTGTTTATTGCTCGCTTCTGTCATCGTTTTATTCCATAGTTAACTATATATTCCCCCCTTGTGTTTTCTAAAAGCACTTGAAACAAGTTTAAGTTGGTTCTTCCTGACAAGAATGAGCAGAAAATGGCCGTTTTATATTTTTGTGCCATGTTCCTTTAAAAAAAAAAAAATGGTTTTTGTTAAATGTGAAGTTGGATGTCTTGCCGTTATGTGTGAAGGTTTTATTTCGGAAAGACTCTAAATATACGTGTAGAGTTTAGATTCTAAACAAAATAGAAATATCTGAAAAATGTAGGAAAGAGTATTCAACAACATTGCTAATGTCGCTTAAGT